GTTTACAGCCGCTTTGTTCATAATTGCGCAATCTCAGAAGCAGCCGAAATGTCCTTCAATAGGTGAGAGGGAAGCTAAACTGTTGTACATCCAGACAATGGGGTATTTTTCATAACTAAAAAGAAATGCACCATGGAGCCTGGAAACGACATGGATGACCTTAAATGCATACCACTAAGTGAAAGAAGCCAAACTGAAAGGCTACATAGTGTAGGATTCCAAATACATGACATTCCGGGGAAGGGCAAAAGCCACAGAGACAGTGACTAGATCAGTGGTTGCCAGGGGTGAGGAAGAGATAAATGAATAGGCAGAGCACAGAGGATGTTTGGGGCTGAGAAAGTATTCTGTGTATAATATTTTCCACACTTTCCGCCTTCTATAATGGTGGACACATGTCATTAGATACATTTGTCAAATGATAGACTTCAGTTAAGAATAATGTATCCACATTGGCTCATGGATCATAACAAATGCAGCACACTGACGCAACACCTTAATAATACAGGAAACTGGGAGGTGAAAGGGCGAAGGGTTGTAATGGAACTCTGTACTTTCTGCTCGTGTTTCCGCCGACATAAAACTGCAGTAAAAGAAAATGAAGTCTACCAATTTCAAAGCAAAGAAGACAAAGGGAAAGTGAACCGGGTGCCAGTCAGGGAGAGTTCTGAAACGCATACAAACCAGCCTGGGCTCTCATCCTGTAAACACAACCATTTTTGAAACAAGGCAGTGACAGAGTTTTACTCTGAAAAGAAAATTCTGGTGACCCTGCAGGCTAAAGAATCTATGAAAAAGAGAGCCAGGGACCAAGAAGCAGACGACAGCAGCAGGGAGGTGGGGGTGGGTCTGGATGAGCGAGGGGCCGTGCGGAGGGGATGGGGACGCAGCAGAGGAAGCCACGGGACTTGGTGACAGCTGTCCTCGTGCATCCAGGGATGCGTGAGAAAATGAAGGTCAAAGTTTCCCTCTGGTTTCTAGATAAAACTCTGTGGCAGACAATGGTGCTGACAGAGGAAGAGAAACAGATAAGATGGGGAAAAGGAACTCGGTTTTCGAACGTGACGTTGTTACTACTCACAGGATACGGATGTGGGAATGCACAGAGGCAGCTCCAAACCCAGGTAGGCAACTCGGAAAGGAGGTCAGGCTGCCTCCGAAACGATTTCTGGTATGTATCAAACTGCACTTTTATACAAGGGGACATCACGTAACCTCCAGCGTATAGGAGTGATATTATACTCTGACTTAACAAGGGAAAGAAATCTAGTCTATTTTCTAAACTTGCTTGTACCCATGAGAGGAAAATATTGAGTTATTTAGCTTATCCCTCCCAAAAGAAAACAAATTTTTCCAAAATATCTATTTCAGACATTATTTATAAGTGGCTTATGTGTGATGCTGCAGTTACTATGGCTACTAACAAGTGATCCCACAATGCAGTGGTGTCAAACAAGCATTTATGATGCCCATGACCTTGATGGGTCAGGAGTTTGGACAGGGCACGACAGAGATGGGGCGTCTCCACGCCACAGTGTCTGAGGCCTGGAACTGTCTGAAGGGCCATTCACTCACACATCCGGCAGCTGACACTGGCTGTTGGCTGAAGGACTTCGGTTGCTCTCCATGTGGGCCCCTCCCTGTGCTCTCTGTATGTAGGCTGGTTTTTGGGTTCCTTCCAGACTAGTGCCTGGATTAGGGCCAGATCCCAAGAGACAGAGAGACATGCAGGAGCCAAATCCTTTCATGGCCCGGGCCTGGAGGACACAGAGAATCACTCCCCCAGGCCACACGGGTCAGAGCAAACACAAGCCCTCACCAAGACGCATGGCAGGGGAAGGCGGAATCAACCTCACCTCTCCACGAAGGAGGGTTCATCATGCTGTAAGAAGTGCACGTAGGATGGGATCTGGGGCAGCTATCTTTGGGAAATTAAATCTGCCCACATGAAAATCAAAGTATTGTTCCCGTCTGTATGACTCTCTGGGAATAAGAAACATTGAGGGAAGACAGACAGGGAAGGTCAGTGATAAGTCAAACCCGTAACAACTCAAACCCGCAAACTTCATCTGCGTTGAGTCCACTCTGTTCCAGGGAGAGGGAAACATTCAGATCAAAATGACATGGACAGTGAAGCATTAGCGAGTACCCGTCTGAAAACCAGCATGATCACCAGAGAAGCTAACGTTCCTGCCCGCCTATATTAAAGAAATGTCCTACTGAAGCTTAGAGGCTTGGACCCAGTTAGTGGCACAACATGAGAGGCAAGAGGCCCCAGTGAATATCCTGGGGGAGACGGGCTGCCACTGACCCCAGCCACACACAACCCATGCCAAGTCATGCCCCCATGCTGCCTGGTCATTTCACCGCCCCCTCTTAAATTCACTCAACATAAGCAGCTCCTTGTAAAGTTCTGTTGCTCTTTGGGGCTGCTTAGCTGTTTTTGAAGGATTTTGAAGGGTTGAAATCTTTATCTAAGAGTCAGATAAGAAAATAAAATACACATTGATGAATACTCATTTAAAACCTACCAGAGTTGCCAGAAAAATCAGTCTATTTTCCAAAACATAGGACACCAAAGAGTAGAGGTTGTGTCAATGAAAAGAGCTTATTAATGTACTTGCCCAAAGTTTTTTTTCTCTAAATTCTTCATCCTTGGGGCGCCTGGGTGGCTCAGTTGGTTAAGCGTCTGACTCTTGACTTTGGCTCAGGTCATGATCTCGTGAGTTGTGAGATGGAGCCCTGAATTGGGCTCCATGCTCAGCGTGGAGCCTATTTAAGATTCTCTCTCTTTCTCCTTCCGTCCCTCTCCCTCTCTCTCTCTCCCTCAGTCAAAAAAGTAAAAAACAACCATTAAAACACACACACACACACACACACACACAATATACTATAGCCAAGAAGTTTATTCCATGAACACAAGATGGTTCGATTTATCATAAATTGAAAGGAAAAAAATCAAATAATTATCTCCATCTCACTGAAAAAAAAAAACTTTAACAAAATGTAATGCTTATTCCTGAGCAGTTTTTTTAACATCAAAAATAGAAATTGATGTATACTTTTCAACATGATAAAATTATATAAATCTCTGTCCTAAAGCCAACATTTTAGTGACTGGAGAAGCACTAAAGGCTGCCTCACTCAGGTCAAGAACAAAGACAAAGGCACCCGCTATTTCCACTAAATATTAACTTTGAATCCAAGCCACCAGCCAATCAGTCAGACAAGAAAACAGAGATGCTGGGGTGCCTGGGTGGCTCACTCGGTTAAGCGTCCGACTTCGGCTCAGGTCACGATCTCACGGTTTGTGGGTTTGAGCCCCGCATCGGGCTCTGTGCTGACAGCTAGCTCAGAGCCTGGAGCCTGCTTCGGATTCTGTATCTCCCTCTCTCTCTGACCCTCCTCTGCTCACACTGCCTCTCTCTCTCTCTCTCTCTCTCAGAAATAAGTAAAACGTTAAAAAAAATTTTTAAAAAGAAAGAAAACAGAGATGTAAGAACAATCAAACTCTCTCTATTTGCAGGTGTTGATAACAAAATTACCTGGAAAACCGAACAGAAGCAACAATAAAGGCTCACACCACCAATGAAAGAATTTAGTGGAAGAGAAGACTAAAGTGGACATAAAATAGCCATCATGAAAGTCTGACAACACACTCTGGGAATATGGAGAAATGCATTGTCACAATGCCAGTAGAAATGTAAGAGTAAACCACCTACAGAAGGAAATTTGATAATATCCAAAATATTACATTCCTACTATGTGATCCAACAATCCCATTCTAGGCTGAAAAAAATGGATTTTTAAGCACTCAAAATAGGAATAGATGGCTCATTTTTGAACATGATACAAATACATAAACCAAGACCAGTTACTATGACAGATACACCAGGCTATTACTCACTTCAAAATACAACAAAACATTTGCAATAGCGAAAGACTGGAAAACAACCCAAATGTCCAGCAACAGCAGACCGATTCAACTATGATACATCCATAGAATCCAACACTCCACAACTCTAAATGAGGAATGAACACTATCCCTATTTATCGTATGGAGCGATCTCCAAGACATGAGTTAAGTTGAAAAAAGCAAAGTAGAGAAAAGTGTACATGGCACGCTGGCCATTCAAGAAAGAAAAGGAGGGGCGCCTGGGTGGCTCAGTCAGCTGAGCGTCTGACTTCGGCTCAGGTCATGATCTCACGGTTGGTGGGTTCTAGCCCCATGTCAGGCTCTGTGCTGATAGCTCAGAGACGAGCCGGCTTTGGATTCTGTGTCTCCCTCTCTCTCTGCCCCTCCCCTACTCATGCTCTGTCTCTTTTTTTCTCAAATATAAATAAACACTTAAAAAATAAAAAAAAAAGAAAGAAAAGGAACCGAGATAAATGTGTGTGTGTGTGTGTGTGTGTGTGTGTGTGTGTGTGTGTGTAGTTTATTATATACACAGGTAAATTTTTTTTTTAAATTTTTTGAAAATTTATTTTTTTCAAGAGAGAGAGCATGCAAAAGTGAGGGATGGGGAGAGAGGAAGGAGAATGAGAGAATCCCAAGCAGGCTCTGTGCTGTCAACCAAGAGCCCGACATAGGACTCTACCCCACGAACCATGAGATCATGACCTGAGCAGAAATCAAAGAGTGGGACGCTTAACTGAGCCCCCACAGTGCCCCCGTATGTAGTTTCTTAGATGGGAGGAAGTAGAGTAAATGAGCAAAGACAGATACCTGGCTTCTATGAATATACCTTATTTTGTACATTTGACTTTGGAACCATGTAAATATTTTACTGGATTATAAAACAAAACAAGGGCCACAGCAACGAACGTGGTATTCTCCGTGTGATCCCGTTTCTAAGGCTGTGAACACACCCACTTGGGAACCAGAATCAAAAGAACCAACAGCACAGTTCTGACCGGTGAGCAGCCTTAAGCAGTGTGCGAGGCAAAGCCAGAGGCAGAGGAGCACTAACGAGAGACCGAGACCGTAGCACAGGACTTACCTCGACCTTGCTCTCAGGTTCATGATCAGCAGCCGAGAAATACACAACCTCCTGTACTTCATCCCTGGGCCGCGCTGAATTTTTCCCAAACACCACCAGACCGTCCTTAGCACGTGGGGGGAAGGCCACAAAACAGTAACTTGGAGGAGCGACAGCCATCCTGCAAAGAGAGAGAATGCCAGGGATGGAATGGAAGCGGCCCTACTGTGGAACAGTCCAACGGTGAGTTCTTCAAACACATTTCACCAGCGAAGAGTGTGGAACTGCGTGCGGCTAGTTCATTAAGGGATCCCCAGCTGGCACAGGGAGGTTGAGCGCCTGGCGTGGAACTGCGGAGCCGCCGAGGCCAGATAGCGGTTAGTCCTCCGTGGGATTCAACGAGCTCAGATTTGCAGCCATCAGCAGGGCAGCCAACAGTGCAATGACATAAGAGAGCAAAACACAAACACACTGCAATGTGTCCCAGGAAGAGAAAAATCAATAAATATACTTGTAACAGTGCCCTCCGCAAGTGTCTTAGATCACGAGATGTGTGCCTTCCTGAGACGTAAGGGATTTTGGGGTGGTGATGGGGAGACGGGTCTAGTGATAAAGTGAAAGATACTCTCCCTATTTTATGTATTTTTACTCTACCTCAATGACATAACACTCAGGAATCTCTTGGTTTTCCTCCAGCCTCTCCAGTGCTCCTGGGCTGGCTTGTTCTCTTCCACCTGGCCATTGAGCATCCTCACTGCTTGATCCTTCCTCCCTCATTTAATGCTCTTTTCTTCCTGGGAAAACCCATCCATGCCCATTAGTCACGTATGTGGCCATGACCTACACATCTGATTCCAGCTCTGTTCTCTCCTTGATCTCCCGACCCAGAGGCCCAAATGCCTTTTTGCTACCCAAAGCTGACTGCACCACCTTCTTCCCTAAACTGAGTCCCTTCCCACGGGTCTCTATCTCACTCACCATCCAATGAACTATCTGTCCCACTGGAACATCTGGAGGTCAAAAACTACCCGTTCCATCTGCTTCTCTGTTACCTAACCTACCACGAAATTCCACCTGTAGATTCGATCTTGTAAATCTCTTTGGAAACTATCCACTCTTCCCCATCTCCACTACCACCACTCTGCACCAAGCCTCCATCACTAGCCTGGATCCCCACCAGGAGTAAGAGCTTATTGCACAACACTATTATGCCCCCTCCAAAACATTGGCACGTGGCAGCCAATGTTTCTTTTACTTTTTTTAATGTTTATCTATTTTTGAGAGAGAGAGAGAGACCGAGTGGGAGCAGGGGACGGGCAGAGAGAGAGGGAGACACAGAATCTGAAGTAGGTTCCAGGCTCTGAGCTGTCAGCATGCAGCCCAATATGGGGCTCGGACTCACGAACCGTGAACCGTGAGCTTAAGTCAGATGTTCAACCGACTGAGCCACCCAGGCGCCCCCAAAGTGATCTTTTAAAGGACGATTTGATCATGTCAGTTGGGTCACCCTCCTTAAAATCCTTCAGCGGTTTCCCACGGTTCTTAGAATAAAGACCAAAATCTGGTCAAGCTCATGCCGCCTCCTCAGCCCCATCTCATGCCACTCACCAATCTCCCAACTCCAGCACACAGACCTTTTCCCAGCCCCTCCAACCCTCCCAGGGCCTTTGCACGTGCTTCGCCCCTGTTCCTGAGCACTCCTCTCTGCTCCTTATACCAAAACCATTTGCCTAGTTGACTCCTACTCCTTCACATAAAAAAGTCAGTCAAATTTATTTCACTGTATTGTAAGCTCTCATAGAACCCCATCCTTTTCCTTTATAGCAGTCTCAATCTGAAATATTTATGTAATGATTTTATTACCAACAGTCAATATTTGTTCTTTCCCCCCAAAGTCGAAGCAAGATGAAAGCAGGGAAACCACGTGTCTTTTGAACCACTGTCTTCTGCAGGGTAGATTTTCGAAAAATAAGAAACAAGTGCTCTTTTCTTCTTTCTTAAAACTGAAGCCAACTCTCTACAACTCTTTCTTTTTTTTTTTTTAATGTTTATTTATTTTTGAGAGAGACAGAAACAGAGCATGAACAGGGGAGGGGCAGAGAGAGAGGGAGACACAGAATCCCAAGCAGGCTCCAGGCTCTGAGCCATCAGCACAGAGCTCTATGTGGGGCTTGAACCCACAGACCACGAAATCATGACTTGAGGTGAAGTCAGCCGTTCAAACGACTGAGCCACCCAGGCACCCTTCTACAACCCTTTCTCACCACCATGCCGCACCTGGCTAGAACTCCCTCCCCAAAGTCTGTGCATTTCCTTCAGGATCTGATTCAAAATCTCTTCCTTTTCAGGATGCCTTCTACAAAGGACTGTCATTTTCCCAGCATCCATCAGCACTGAGGCCTCCAGTTTGTTCTAGAATGATGTACATTTGTTGTTTGTAAATTTACTGCTTCAAATGTTTCAAATAAGGACGCCTGAGGGCAGAACCCAAGCCGCGCAACTCCCGCAGCCCCTTTCCCAAATCCCTATCACAGGCACTCAACAAACATTGCCTATTAGGCCTACTGTCATAAGTGTGTCATCAATTATCCAACTGAAATGTGTTTTCTTAGGCAGAGAAGGACAAATACCATATGTTTGCACATATAGGAGGATTAGGAGGAACTTGACGGAGGAACAAGGGGGAGAAGAAGGGCGGAAATGGTGGGGGAAAGGGAGAGAGGCAAACCATGAGAGACTCTTGAATGCTGACAAAAACTGAGGACTGATGGATGTGGGGGGGGGGGGGGATGGGCATGGAGGAGGGCACTTTGGGGATGTGCGCTGGGTGTTATGTGGAAACTAATTTGACAACTATTTGTAAAAAAAAAAAAAATAATAATAATAATAAATTGAGTTACTTGTAGACAGCAAAAAAAAAAATGAAATGTGTTTTCTTTTAGGATTCCAAAATATAAGTGAGAAATAAAGCAATGATCCCGGCAAAGCCACTGGGATTCAAATCTCAGTCGCACCACCTCCTGCTGTGTGAGCCCGAGCATGTCACTTTCCCTCTCTGGGCCTAGGTTTTCTCTTCTGCAACTGTTTTGCTCCAGCCCATACGTTTATTATGAGTATCAAAGGACATGATGCTTGAGAACATATTTCACAAACTGTGAAAGCTACGTGAGGGTAAGATACTCTCTTTGGGTTTTGACTGTTCAAATAGAGAAGCATCTCAAAATTTCTATGAAACGAGCCAGTCAAATCCACCTCGCTCATAACTGGAGCAGTTATCCAATCACAGAGTCAGCAACATCTATGTGAGGGACCCTAGTGCCACGTCTGCATCCAGGCTTCAGGTTAGTCTGTGCATGCACCCCCTGGGCTGTCGAAAGGCCTTCCCTACACTGGGCACCAAGGGCGCCAAGAAGTGGAGGAGCCCAGAGCTCTGGAGGAGGGCACTTGTCAGGATGAGCAGTGGGTGTTGTAAGGCAGCCAATTTGACAATAAATTATATTTAACAAATAAAAATAAAAATAATTCCCTCCTAGTTCAGAAAACTACCCCCACCCACTTTGTGAGAAAGAACAAGCAGGAAGATTAAAAAACAAAACAAAACCAAAAAGACTCCAGTTCCTTCTCCAATGATCCTTTTCTATTTTCACAAAAACTGCATTATCTTCAGACTTGAGAAGTAGGACAAAATAAACCAAACTCTGTATGTATAAGAAAGACCTAGAAGCATTATAAGATAAAATGCCTTAATAGTGAGTTTCTAGAATTTGAGGGTGGGAAAAATTGCTGGCTGAGCCAAATAAAGTGAAACAAATCCAGAAGATCAGATGGAGAAAAGGTGCATTTACTTGTGCTTGAAATGCCTTTTGTATGTGATAGGAATCCCTTTCCTCCCCTATCATTGGGTCACTTCAAAAGTGTTGGTGTCTTGGGGTGCCTGGGTGGCTCAGTCAGTTAAGTGTCTGACTTTGGCTCGGGTCATGATCTCACAGTTCGTGAGTTCAACCCCTGCATCGGGCTCTGTGCTGACAGCTCAGGGCCTAGAGCCTGCTTCGGATTCTGTATCTCCCTCTCTCTCTGACCCTCCCCTGCTCACGCTGCCTCTCTCTCTCTCTCAGATATAAATAAAACATTAAAAAAAAAAAGTGTTGGTGTCTCATCTATGAGCAGAACCTTACTTTATTTGGATCTTAAAATTTGTAGGAAGCCACTGCTCTTGCATTTATGAGATGTATCTATAGAAAACAAATAAAACTCACAGGGCTTTGACAAGCCCCTGTTCTATGCTTCAGCCAGGACATCTGCTTGGTCAGCAAGACGTATGAGTCACATGACCATGACCTGGATGTAGGCAACACAAGCCCAGGGATGTGTGGGCCCAGAGAGGCTGGCTTTGCCACTGAACCTTGTAAAAGACTGGGGATGACAGAAGGAGGCAGAATTTTAATGTCTAGTTTTTTAATGCTAAATGAACCAGCAAACTGTGTAACACACCCAGTAGCAAACCAGCCAAGGCTAATTGTCCATTTATTTTTCCTGGATCACCATTCTAGACACTAGCCTCAGAGATGACTTAGCTGGATCCTTTTCCACTCTTTAGATCAATGCTGCCTGAAAGAGTATTCTACATTGACGGAAATTGTTCTATCTCCAATGTCCAATACGGCAGCCATTAGCCTCATAGTGTGTTTAAGGAACTAAATTTTTATTAAAAACCTTAATTAGTTTAAATGTAAATAGCCACACATTTTATTACCAAGTAATAGGAATGCTATTGGACAGAGCAGCCTTATAACCTCCCAATAAGCCCAGAAATGAAGATTTTCACATTAAGCCTTCCAATAATCCCTTAAGTGCTTCTTTGTGAAGCCCTCCACATATTCTAATGACAAAATATAAACTGAATTACCAAATAAACTGAATTACCAAAGAGGAGGTAGTACATTTTGAGAAGACCCAAGAAAACAAACACTAGAAAGTAGCTACTGAACTCACCAGGTGGACTGAGTTTAAGCAAGCTCTTTCTCCAGAAGCTAAAGGTGATCAAAGCTCCCAATTCCTTTTCCCTTGATGTGAGTCTCATATCCCTAACTCTGACTACACCATGAGTGTGCTCCCCATTGTTGCCTAGAAGTCTTTTGGGTACTTCTCTGATCAATCCCACTCTTTATGTCCTAACTGAAC